AGCAAAGTTTTCGCAGAAAAATAACATCAGAAATCGCGGGCGCAGTTTGCTGAGCTGTTCTGCGACGAAAACAAGCTTGAGCAACGGCGATGTCGAATGGTGCACACTTGGTAAGTAATCCTACAATTTTTTGTTTATAGCGTAGTTTATACGGATTATTTCCAAAAAAAATATACGTATTTTGGAAATGTTGAGTCGGATTAGTCTAGAATCAATTAATTTTATGGAAGAAAACCTTTCAAACAGCCGTAGTCCATAAACTTCACACGTGTCGGGCTGTGATTGGCTGTGATTCCTACAAAATTGATTCATAAAGAACGGAACGTATCTACCGTCTTATAGGGGGATTGACTGTATAAGTATATGTCTGAGATCATGAAAATCAATCATATATGTACATGTAATCAGAAGACCAAGTCAGCAAAGGTTCTGAGAAAATCATGTCCATCTGAATAACTATATAGATACCAAAATCAAAGATACTGGTGATGGGAATTTCCACAAGTCAGTTTCACAGTCTGATTCTTTTGGGGGCCAGAACAAAAACAGGAATATACTTATTCTGATATTATCTTGTTCACATCAATATGTTTGACTCTGTGAAATATAATTTTCCTAAAACTCAATTTTCCTAATTGAGCAAAAAAAAAAAAAAAAAAAAAAGAAGAAGAAGCCTGTATGTTCTAGAATCTTGGAGCAAACTTGTGGGGTAAGCCAGAAAGTAAAATCCCTTTTAAGAAGTCAAAATGTCACAGCAAACACACATTGTGTTTATACAAGAAATGCAAAATGCACTGAGATTCAAGAATAAAAATTACCAAAGAAACACTAAGGACAATGCTCATTGGGTACACTCATAATGCCATGGAAGCCTTACAGGAAGTGTCTTTCAAGAGGAGAAGGCTTCCAAGAAGTGATGTTGCACTTCCATGCCTCTACAATGGGAGGCAGCCAATTTCTGCTCCCAAGCTTAGAGACACATGAATGCTGCATGCATACATTCCTGTAGAGTATCATTACTTCTATGCAAGGCTTACAACACAGGCAAAGACGCTCAGAAAACTTTGTGAAAGAACACTGAAAGTCAGATGGTGAGCAGACATCCAATTCTGATAGGAACGACTGATTACAAATGGCATTCTTTGAGACTACTTCCTGGTAGTGTAAGATACATTTTAATAGTATACTGTGGGATACAGGATTTTTGCATTGTGATAAGCTTTTTGTAAGGTACTCATTTTTTTGTAAATATTGTGATATTTTTAATACACATAATGTAAGAGTACCCAAATTTTACCTATAAATGCACTGATGAATGCTAAAGTTTGTATTTACCTGAACAAAGGTACGAATCATTAACTTTATTCTCATTTTATTAAATTTAACACACCTGTGGGTTACAGATTTCATGCACAGGTCACAGAATTTGTAATCAAGCAAAGTGATATGAAGTGAAAAAATAAATAAATAGTATAAATAAAATGTCAGAATTATCAATCAGTGTTAATGATCATATTTTGCTACTTAACCCAAATATTTTTCATTTTAATTCTTCAAAAAATGCATATTTTTTGAATGTTATGACAATAAATTAAACAGAAAAAAATTAAAAACTAAATTTGGAAATGAAATTTTTCTATTACATTTGATATTCATGATTATAATGCAAAATAAAATTATCATTATAAATAAACAGCAATGCTGAAAATTCTCTATTAATTAAAGATCTATGGCGATTTTTCTACAGATTTAAATTAATACATTCATTTTGGCATAATAATAATAATAATTATTATTGAATTTCACTAATCAAGAGAGATTCAATTTAACATTAACTTTATAAAATAAATAATGATATATCTATATATATAATCAAGATGGGTTGATAATAATAACAATAATAAGTGCAGAGCCCAAATGGTTAGGACTTGAAAGCCAAGATTTGGTACACAGTTACATCATGTTAAGGTACCAAAAAGGAATTTTTGAAAATTCCCCATGGGGGAGAGAGTTAAGAATTACCCTGAAGAACTCGGCTTCTATTCTACTATTTTAGATGTGGTTTTTCTTGTTTTTGTGGAAAATCAAACATATTTTTAGACCCATCTAAAAATTCTTTAATTAGTCTCGGAAAAGGGTGAACCTAGTTCTTGCACCCGGTGAAAATCAGTAAGATCAGCTATAATCTAATAATATTAATCTTTGCTATCATTACTTTTTCCCAAGCATCTGCTAGTTTCAAATAAAATGTTTCTGAAATAGACTCCAAAACCTACATTTTAAAGCTATTTAATATATTTGAATTAATATGAACAATTAACAATTTCCTATTAAATTTAAAGAATCATTATTATTATTAAATAAAAATTGTTGTTTCTTAATTCAAAATAAAACTTTATGGGTTCACAATTACTGTATATATATTACAGACTTACAGACTGTAACAGTGAGGAGCAAAGCATGAAACACTTCAACCTAAAGGATCATTGTGCAACCCACAAGAAATTACTTCAGAAGGCTGAATGCTTTAAAGAAATAAAACAGACTTCTAAAGAAATGATGGGAGGCACCACCAAAACTCAGAAAAATTGAGATGAAAAGTCTCAAAAATGGTAAAAGGATAAAAATGAAAGTTTCAGCAGGGTTTAAGTTGTTGCTAGATTTTTGCTAAAATGCTACAAAAATTTAGATTTAGTGACAACTTTCTTGGCATATTTCGCTAAAAACTAACGTTTTTAAGATGTTTTAACTAGTGATTGGCCAATACCAAAATTTCTCTTTAATTTTGATTCTTTTCAATACTTTCTAAAGTTTATTTTAGAAAAATTAAAAATAAAGTTTATAAAAATTAACGATTTACATTACGAGCATGATACATTCATTAATTAATAAACATCAAGCATAAGAATGGAAAGTAACTGGAAAATCCAGAATCAATCTTTTGAAAGAAATCTGAAAATTTTCCATTTATATGTAGATATGCATGCTTTTATTGTGTAGTAGAAAATAAATTTGTAACCTTATTACAGATAAAGTTAATATTGCAACACTACCCCCAAACAAATTACAGCTAATTCCCTTTTGCTAAAAAAAAAAAAAAAATAACTACCCCATCATGTCATCTAAAGTCACCATCTTTGAAAACTGTTTCATTGGCCAATGCAACAACCAAAGGAGGGGAAAGGTAATGAGAAGATGCACTTCATATTTTACTGCTTCTCACAATCGGCATGCCTCGTAAATGCTGTAATTTCCTTGTACAGGGTGATTCAAAAGTCATAGAAATTTTTCAAAAATTAATAACTTGCAATTTACAGTATGATGATGCAGTTTTCACAGAAATACTTAGAAAGAAGCGAAATTGTTTTGTGTAATAAAAATTTTAGTACCAAAATAGTTACATTTGTTGCCATTAGGTGACGCTTGATACAATTACATAATTTATGTAGTTTTTACTAGTGAGCTTACACTAAGAACATTTTTATTTGCTTATTCTTATTTTAACAAATTTACAAATGTTCAATGTAGTGCCTGTCATTCATGAGCACAGCTGTTAGACGAGGCATGACGCTACGAACAGCATTAAAGAGCATTCTGGTTGGTATTACTGAAACTTCATGTTGGATAGAGTTCTTCAACATGGCTAACGAAGTTATCTAAAGAACTCTATTGAACATGAAGTTTCAGTAATACCAACTGTAATGCTCTTTAATGCTGTTCATAGCGTCATGCCTCATCTAACAGCTGTGCTCATGAATGACAGGCACCACACTGAACATTTGTAAATTTGTTAAAATAAGAATAAGCAAATAAAAATGTTCTTAGTGTAAGCTCTCTAGTAACAACTACATAAATTATGTAATTGTATCAAGCGTCACCTAATGGCAACAAATGTAACTATTTTGGTACTAAAATTTTTATCACAAAAAATTCCGCTTCTTTCTAAGCATTTCTGTGAAAACTGCATCATCATACTGTAAATAATTTGCGAGTTATTAATTTTTTAAAATTTCTGTGACTATTGAATCACCCCGTATTTAACACTAAATGAGGTTTGGCAAATGATGCAACGAGCCAAACAAATATCATCATCATCATCATGAGTTAAGCAAGTTTTTAATTCATTCACTCGAGCCAAGTTTTTCTAAATGTACAATTGCATGTAATTATTCAAGGAAAAGAAAAATCAAACGTATGCATATAATGATTCATCTTAAAAAAATCATATTTTTAAAACTCAAAACTGCAGTAAATTTAGCATGAACAATTATTTTTACTTAGAATCATGTGAAATGCATTTTTATTGACTGACATTAAAAGGGCATGTTATAACAAAAATTATATGACTTCAAACCTTATTAATTATAATTATCATTAATTATTAATAATAATTCATCAATGTAGTCTGACTGCTGCTTTTATGCAGTAATCTTTAACATAGTACCTAAGTGAAGTAAGAAATGTCAGTAATTTTAAATATTGTACTGCAAATAAATAACAATTAAAATAGTAAATATTTAAATAACTGAATAAAACTGATAATGACTGCACATTATCATCAGGCTTATAGCACAAGAAGTCAAATCATTTTGGCATGTCAATTTTGATAACAATAGATGAATGATGAAATAAGTGTGTACTGTATTTTTGTCAATATGATAGAGGCTTTAAATAAATTGATTTATAATAAAAAACAATAATTCCAAAAATAAATGAATATATCGTTATTAAATATTTTATTTTTATGGTTTTTAATAGTAGGCTATAATGAACCACTTCTCTGAATCATATTAACTTTTATGAGCAGTTCATTTATAAAAATTTGAATGTTAATTTTTTAATGCATTTTATCATTGTTTTAAAGAGGTTATTTACACTAAGAAAATAAACCAATCTCCCTATTTATCTATTAATAAAAAAGTATAGAAAATTTTTAATTATTAAAAATAAAAAAATTTTATTGGAAATTTTTTTGGATACATTTAAAAGTTTAAACTTACCTTAAACTCTTTGGCCATCCTCCTTCAACTTGTGTTTTAGATATTCTACATTAAGTAATTCATATTATTATATTATTATAAGAACAATTAAATTATTAAAATAGCAATAATAATATTTCTGAAATATTAAATAACATTTGGCAAAGAAGTTAATAATTTGAAATCATTAGCTAAAAAGATTATGAATATCTAAGCCCATTATAATTAGATACTGTATATTTAGGATTCATAATAAACATAATGTATTTTTCTGCAAATTATAATTAATAATAAATTCTTAAACAGATACATATTATGAACATCATGTGAACAAAATAATAACTTTTTCTGTAATTATGCTTTCACCTTGGTCTGTCATAGCATTTATGCACCAGTACAGAAGACAAGTAGGATACAATCCATTAATTCCACCATAATTATAATACAATTAACTAACACAATCACAAATTTATTCAAGAAATACTCATGTTTAGATTCTTCACAAAAACCATGGATAATCAAAATACAAATATCAAAACAAGTAGGGTACACTAACTAAAACACATATATTACCAAAATACATTCAACTAGAATCAACACTTTTATATATGTATTGGTTTGTTCTGGTATATTCACTGTAGTTATCCACTGATCTTAAAATACAATCAGACAGACAATCAAAACACAGACAAATAAAAAGCCTGCCTGGCAAAGAAGATGAAATACAAATAAATAACATTAGATAACAACTAGAATGCTCACACAACAAACTGAAAAAACAACATAACACTAAATTTAATGAAAGGGGTTAGAAAATTAACATACATACATAACACAATACCTACATACAGAAACATGCTGACACCCTCAAACAAAAACTCACAGTCAATTCAAAAAGATTCCAAATGCTACAAAATCTTTACAGTACAAAAACAACAAATGAAATATTCATAAACATTGAGATAATCTTCTACAGCTAAGCATATACAAAACCCATCCACACAGTAATAACACAATGGCCTGCCAACAGCTAAATAACTCAGACTAGTCTGCTCTTTAGTGCAATCCAATCATGCACAAAGATTAAGCAATCTGAATTAAAAGGGAAAGAAAAAACATGCCACGTGAAAATAAACATACAAGACATCCCACATGCAATAAAAAGAACACACAGTTGAAAGACATCTGGTACAGACAATATTTACAATTTATGATACAAAAAGTTTACACCTATGCACCAAAAAACTAGTCAAACATTTCACATATACAATCAACAATCCACAATACATGACAAAATTTCTTATGGAGGACATGACACAAAACTCAAAAACACCAGAAACCCTACATAATACAGACCAATCACATGCAAAAAAAAAGCAGCCATACAAAACACATGTGATATAAGTTAATATGGAAATTTTTAAACACAGGCAGACATGAACATCAAATAACTAAAGTAAGTTTCTCTGTAACAGTGCCTTGGCCTGGTATAGCTCTTGGCTCTGATATTACCAGAGTAGGATAAAATCCACCAAAATCATGTAATAATATTTTATTTAAAGAATTGCATACTTACTCTTTTTGTTTTTGTTGATCATGCTTATTTGTAATTTCTGATTCAGTTGAATTTTGTTGATAGTGAGTAAACTGTTGTGTATTAGTTGGCAACTGCTGATTTGTTAAATTAGATGATTGATTGTATTGTTGCTGCATGAAATTATTTTGCCTCATTCCTCTTCCTTTTCCCCGTTGAAAGTAAGAGTTCAAGGGATTGTTAGAATTTGGAACATTTCTTTTTGGAAGACTAATTCTAATGTTTGAAGAAGCTAATATTTAAAAGTAAAATATTATGAAATACTAAGATTTTAAATAATATAATTTATATACACATATATATAATTATCACTTACATTTATTTGAGGATGCTGAAAATTGATTATTTGTCCCGCTATATCTATATGCATTATGAGCAAGAGGTGGTGTTGGTGGTGGCGGAGGTGGTGGCTGAAATACAAGATTATTATGATGAATTGTCTTGGTCCTATCATTTTCTTGATTGCTATTGTCATCTGTACAATCAGATTTAGTACCAGAATCTAAATGGGATTCTGTTTCTCCTGGAGGTGGTGGTGGAGGTGGCGGCGGTGGAGCAGATGATGAAGATGGAAAATAAGATGTTGAATAATAACTTGCATAGCCAGGATACGTATCCTATATTAAAAAAATAATAACAACTTTAAATCAGTTCAAAAAACTTTGAATTCAGAAAATTAAGTTTAAAAATGAAACAAATTTAAGTGAGAATAAATAGTTTCTGGCATGAAGATGGAAAGTAGTCTTTCTAGCTGCTCTACATCTGGAATGTCAAAGCTACCTCTCACAAAAAATTGCTTATTCACTGTTTAATGATGAAATAGCCAGAACAGTCAACCCCCAATGTTTTCATTATCTCCCAATGGATTTCCTTTGGTAAATATCTGTTTCTTAAAGACATTTCCTCTAAAAACAGATATTTAAATTAAAATTAATTAATTAATTAACAATGGTTCAATTCCATTTTGTCAAACTGGCCATTGCTTTCTGCCATTTAGTCTTTGCAACTTCACCTGTGCAAACCTACCATTCATTTGCAATAAAGGTACTGTAAAAATTTATTCTATTGTGTTTTTATCATCTATTTCTACCAATTATACTACTTAATAGTATATTTAGTAAAATGTATCAGCTTGCTCACATATCAAGCCTTTATGCATCCATTGATACTTAACTTTCTAAAAATGCACAAAAGGGATCAAGAATAAGATAATATCATGACTAGCAAATAACTTGTTAATGACCATACTCCACATCCATCTTACAATTCTGACTTTATTCCAAGACACCATTAGTAGATGTTATTTGAATGTGTCTTTCACAAAATGCAAAAATGGAATTGATATTTAAAAACTTTTTGGTTTTCTATTGCAATGTTTGGTAAATAAGAATTGTACATTTATATAATATTTCTGTGCTTGGAAATAAAAAGTTTTTTCTTTCTGCTATAATTTTTTGCACTATTTTTTCTGAAAGTAAAAACTAGGTTTTATTGTAAGTGATTTGCTCATGTTAATTATAAATATACATGATTTATTAAAATCAATGCACAGATGAAACCATTTATTGTAATCATTTTGCAACTCACTTACATTAATGATGATGACCAATTGATAACATTAAACAGGATAAGTAAATAATACTACAATCAGTAGAAATTCTGAAAATTTAATACAAGAGACATTGAAGAGAAGACATGTTACATTGGTTTCTGTCAGTCTCTTTCAAATATCCTTCAATATATACTAAGTCACAAAAGTATCAAACACCTATAAAATGGAAGTTTTTTTAGTTATCACTCATTTCTTTCACAAAATAGGAAAAAAATAATGACAAATGTAAAATCTTTAGACTTTTTTTTACACTAGAGAAAGGTATTTACATGTACAAAAGCATTCATCAAAAAGAGAAATGTACTTTTATTTAAAACTGAAAATTTTCAAATCACAAAAGTATCTGGACAGAAGAAATAAATAATGATAAAACAAAATATTTTATACTTTTAAGAATGAATTGGGCCTCCTTTTGTCCTGATAACAACTAGGCATTTGATTCATCCAAATTTTTATAACAATTTTGTCTACTAAATTCAAAACTCTGCCGATAATGATGTTTTTAAGATCTAGTTTTGTTTGTTACTGATTCTGTTCTTATTATTCATTCAATGGGATCTTATAAATGATCAACTGGGTTGAGATTGGGCGATTGTGGAAACCAAGGAAGCACTTTTATACAGTGCATATCAAGAAACTGATTTTCTAAGTGTGCTTTGGATTGTTGTCATGCTGGAAAACAAACCCTTACCCTGACTTTAATTTTCTTACTAATTTCAATACATTTTTATTTAAAATCTGTTTATACACATATTGATTCATTACTCCATCAACAAATTGCAGAGTCCCACATTCCAGCACTATTTCCAGACATACAACTCCAAATAACACTAAACTGTTTCCACATATCACTGTAGGAATCAGATTTTTCAAATTTAAAAATTCTCCATACCTTCAGGCCATCATTTGAACCAAATACATTGAATTTTGATCATCTGACCTCAAAACAGATTTCCAAAATGTCACTGATTTTATATAAAACTCTTTTGCAAACTTTAACCTTTACTATCGGTTAATGAGTTATAACTAAAAAACTCTTCCATTTTATAGGTGTCCAGATACTTTTGTGAGCTAGTGTAAGTATGTTTATGTTTGTACGTGCATGTTTATTTATAAAGAAAGAAGTGGAATATTTACAAACAGCAAAAAATTTTATAATGTTATGAAGTATTTACTTTATTTTTTAGTCCACCCAACATTCCTTCATTCCACTCTGCCATTAATTTAAAAATTTTTGAGGAAGAACACTCAAGTCGCTTATATTGATTACTATTCATTGATATGAATTTGTGTAATATTAATCTTATAATTTTTACAAGCAACATACATAATTTAATTTATATAATTAATTGGAGTAAGTTAATTAATATGAGGTCTGATCAAAAAGTATCTCACCTGAGGTCACAAAAAAACACCTATGTATCTGTGAGTGTCCGGATCTGATAATCACATAAACTTTTCTTTTTACAAACTTTCATGTTCGCTTTAAAATAAAGTGAAATAACGAATAATTATATGAACAAAAAATGAACTTTTTTCTCAACATTTAATAAAAATCTGGAAGGATATGATCACATCTTTCGCTGGATTCACTTCCTTTCGGAGGTGACACAGCTTCCTAGTGTGTCACCCAGAATCTACAGCAAACAATTCCACTACTGAACAACCGTAGAAAAATTCCGAATAAGACCATGGAAAAAACCCAGGGCAGACCCCCTAATAAAAAGGAGGGGTCGATGAGTCGAACAGAGTCATCGAGTTAACTTTGAACTGTCCACGTGTAGACCGCCGCTCGCCATTCGCCGCCATCACCGTTCCTAGTCACTGCCACTCTGAGGGACTCGTTGCCACTCCAAATAGTGTGAAAACATCGAATATCATTCTACAATTTCTACAGGTATTTATCCTTGCGTGAACTTAATGTGAACTCTCTCTCATTATCTCTCGTTGTTTGGGATGAAGTAGTTATGTCTTATGTCATATTATTAGTGTTAGCTAAGCATCTATAAACAGTTCGTAAATATTATAAATAGTTAAGATCGATTAATAAACATGTATTATTATTATTTAATAACTTGTTGAGTGTATTTCCTCTGGTTCTCTCCTTCCACTCCATTCGGGATCCGAAAATCTGCAAATGCAACCGCTCAAAATAACGAGATAAGTGGCCAATCCAGTTTCTGTGTCTATCCGCAAGACACAGTGGTGTCATCCTGAAAAGGTGCTAAAGAGGTGTCGACCTGTGGTCACATATCTATTAAGATTCAAATATAGTCCCCTTCAAAACAGGCTCCTTCTGAGTTTACACTTCTACTAATAATGCTTTCACTGTTAAAAGCATTTTATTGGGATCACCATAAGGTGCTTTGTCATGTCAGTCTTGATTTCCTCTATGTCCTGAAATCATTTCCTTTGAGTGGCATCTTGAGTTTGGAAAAGAACCAAATGTCTGCTGGAGTCAGGTCTGGGGAGTAAGGAGTAGGGCTGTGGAGTAGTGATGATTTTGAGGTTACTCTTACTCCTACTCCAGAGTTGGATTTTTAAATTTTACTCTTACTCCTTGAAAACTTATGACTCTTCTTACTTTTTACTCCTACTCGAACTCCTCAATAACAATATTTCATCACTGTCACATGACTCATCAGGCTACTTTATTTGTTTTTTGAATATTGATCACATTATATGGTAGCCTAATCAGTAATCAGAATTTAAAATTCAATGGGCTGTAGCTATATTGTTTTTCACTTATTTAATGCATATTACAAAACAAAATACATATTTGATTTAAAATATTTATTCAATACTGAAGAAAACTGAAATAGATATAATGGTTATGACTAATGGTTAGACCTAACCATTAGTGACATCTGGAAACCCCTCCTCCCTAACCGATAGTATCCACATGTGATTCCATCCTGCCCTTCCCTAGATGGCCCACATCTGGTGAACCTAGGTGACCATAAGGGAACCTAATACTAACTTTTTGTTATTAATATCTAATATAAAATTATATTTATAATAAAGTAGATACATGACATTTTCATACATGTTAACTAAACTTGTGTGACGTAAGTACTTTATTGTCTCTAATTACTAAACTTTCAAAACTGTAGATTGTTTTATAATTATACTTATAATTTTTCATATTAAACAAAATAAAAAAATATGAACTTACATAATGATGATAGGAGTAAGAATAATTTGTCATTTCATAGTTCCCATACCTATAAAAAAAACATTTAACAGTTATATTATATTATTCATCTATTAATTAAATTATATTTATAAATTTTATCATAAGATTATAGTTAAATAATGTGGCAATGCCATCTTGATTAACCTAATTCTCAAAAGTTTTAATGCTTTCTCTTATGTTCGAAAAATTTAAAATGTATTTATTATAGCTATAGAAATCCAAAATAAAAATATCTATGTTGTTTCATTCTTCACATTTAGCATTTATTGAAAGATAAAACAAGTCATAGTAAATAATGAACAGAATTAAGAAAATCAAGGAAAAAGAAAAAATTGTGATGATAAAAACGGAAAAAGAGATACACAGTGGTATTTCAGAATTCGAATTCAATTTGTTCCTAGAGGGAATTTGAGTTCCAAAGCAATTTTTCCCATAAAGAATAATGTAAAGTGAATTAATCTGCTCTCATATCCTAAAAATACCCAATTTAATTCTAAAAAACCATAATTTAAGCTAAAATAATACAAGTAAATGTCCTAATTAATGCATAAAATAATTAAAATAATAATAATAAATTAAAAATAATGCAATAAAATGGAGATGAACTGTGTGTAGTTAGGCTTGTTCAATGTGTGATGTCTCAAACTTGTATCAACAGCTTTAGAAAATAACAGATTTTCACTGTATAATCAAAACTAAAACTTAACCCAAATTGTCAGCACTGCAACATCATGTATACCCATACAGATATATACTGTACAGTATGACAGTCTTTGTGTTTGAGTTCAAGAAAAGTTCAACTTTTAGGGCAAAATTTCCCTAAAAAAATATTCTATTTCCAAATTGTTCAACCTCTGGGGCATTCAAGTTTCAAGATACAACTGTATGATATCAAGAAAAATCTAAGCTATAAGCTATAAAAATGTAATACTTACATGTTATGCATAAATAAAAGAATTTAAATTAAGATAAGAGAAAACAATGAATAGAATTTAAAGATAACAAACATTTCAGTTTGGACTCTGCCTAATAATATGATTCAATATTAAAAGAACAGAAAACTGATCAATAATGATCTATTTAGTATTACAATCTTCTTCTAGAATAATCTATTTATTAAACAAAATATTTTACTCAGTCATCTTCATACAAAAATTATCTAAATTATTAAAATTAATTTGTAATTTAAAACCTGACACAACATGATATTAAATATTACAAGAAAAATACATTGATTCGGATAATTGATTATCCGAATTAATTGGGGACTGGGGTTGTTTGGAAAATAACCGATTATGTATGAAAAAATACATTATTAATATACAGTAGAGCATCGATTATCCGACTCAATTGGGGACTGGGGTTGGTCGGATAATTGAAAAGTCAGATAACCAAAAAGTATGAAAAAATCCATTATTAGTGTAGTATATTATTATTATATCCCATGTAATTAGTATATTAGTATATTGCTATTAACCTACTTCGTGTTAAATTTTCAATGTTAAGCCTAACAAAAAAATTTTTAAAATAATAATCGTCACTATTGTATCGTTAAAATTTAGAAAATTAAGCCTCGTTTAAATACTGGCTCCCTTTCATGGTCGATTCAGTGTTGCCAGCTAAAACATGTAAAAATAATATTAAAGTAGCCAAGACATAGCCAAATATTGTAGCACCACATCACTAGCGGACATTTTGAATTTGCCGACTAGAACACGGTCGCTTAACCCAGGTGACGGTTAATCGGGGGTCGAATAATCGATGCCCTACTGTAGTATATTAATATATCCCATGTTTAAATTTTTCTCTGTTGCATGTTGCTTCATGTTGAATTTTCATTGATGTTAAGCCTAACAAAAATTATTTCTTTATTTTGTACAAGCAAAATAAATATATTGAAAAATATAAAAACAAAAAAAAAAAATTATACTTTAGAAGTTAATCTAGTATCAAAAACGTCCAATTCAGCACAACACAGTCTGACTGGAATGCATTCAGTTAACCGACGTTTAGGTTGATCAACATTCGGATAATTGACGCTCTACTGTAATTCACTTTTGTCCATGGGGATCAGTCTCCTTTATGCAATTCAAACCCAAAATCTGTGATTTGGATTAGTCAAGATCAGACTCTTCCTGTTGCACTAATTGGCTCCTACTTGATGCTAGGGTCCAAGTTCTGATTGGAAAGGATGGACATCTCTCTTCATTCCCATGCTGGGGTGAGATCCATCCTTTCAATTAAAAACCTGATAGCCTGTAATTAGCAAACTCCCTTGGGCGAAGATCCATAATCAGGAAAAGGAAGTATTTTATCTCTTGAAAGTGAGAACATCTGGACCAATTACCTAATTGTAATGTAAAGCGCTTCCCTTGTCTTTCTTTTATATATTCAAGCTGGGAATAGCCAGTTTTACAAATCTTAATGTTTTTGTTGATCACTTTCCCAGCTCAATCTCTCACCATGACATCTATGACCTCTTTCCACTTCAAGTTTGACAAATACATTAACTTTTACAACTGTGTTTTCAAAGATCACGAAAAAGGAAAGACAAAAATGTAAACAAGTGAGACGGTTTCTGACCTCATTAACTTTTAAACATTTTTGCTTTTTTCGTTAACTGATTTATTAAAAATTAATTTTAGTCACCACAAAGCTGTTAAGATCATAAATTATGTAACAAACGCAAGAAAACTATGAATATTTTCCTACACTTTAAAGTGATTGGCAAATCACCTTCACAATATCACTTTTGAACTTTCACTAAATAAATGCTGGTGTTATAACCTTAAAACTGTTTTTTTTTTTTCCATTACTACTGTACTACAGTTCTTGTTGAATGATTATGGTACCAAGAATTTTTTTATTGTTTTATTGTATTTTATTAAGTTTCCACATGCCCGCCATCATTAATAATACAAATGGAAATACGATGTTGTAGTTCTCTAAAAACATTTGTCAATTGATTTACAGTAATGCCTGAAATCAGATTAGTTATTTTAGCTTTCAAGTCTTTTAACAATTGAGATTTGGTTGCATACTCTATTGTTTTGATATGTCCCCATGAATAGTGCCAAGTGATCATTATTACGCTACATTGCATTTATAAAACAAATATATTAGAATTATTGATTTATTAAGACTTTAAAATAAGTTATTTTATTATATAAAAATACAATATCTTCTATTCTGAATACCAGTATTTTGAACAATCCCGTATTCGTAATGATTTATATTTCGATTTTAAAAATTTTCGAATTCGAATTGGTTCGATTATAGAACAATTGTAAACGTTCCAGAAAAATTGATCAAATTGAAAATAGTTCGTTTGACTGGATGTAAAAATTCTCTAATTAGTCTGGAAACGTGGACCTAATTCTTGCATTCTGTGAAAACGGGTAAGATTGGCTATAATGTAATTATCTTAATCTTCACTATCGTTACATTTTGCCCACAAATAAAAACCCAGCGAAGCGGGTCCTTGCAGCTAGATTCTAGAATACTTAGAAAAACAGTCTTTTATATATATATATAAAAAAAACTATATTACATACAAATGTACAAACAAATAAAAACCCAGTGAAGCAGGTCCTTGCAGCTAGTATCTAATAAAATTGTAAATTTCTAACAAGAGTTCCTTATTTTTATAAAAATCAGAGATAAATATCTAAATTTCCTTGTTTAATCATAATGATTGAAGCAATTATATAAATTATGAATGATAAAGATATCAATTAAGAATAAACATAAACATAAATGATATAAGTAAAATCTGAATGATAAACAATTAGATTAAATAATCAAGAGGTTGAAAACTTAACAAGTGATTTTGAATACAGAATAAATAATGCACATTTCAATTTTGCAATATAAAACTAGTCCTGTTACATTAACAAAAGATAATATGATTATATTATATCAAATGAGATTTACAGTATCTGTTATAGTCCCAATTGATAAACATAAAAAAGTAATTTTTTTTTAAAATTTAAATTGAAAAATATAATGAAATCTATATTAGTTGGATTAAAAACAACTTATATTAGAATCTCATTAATGAATCATTAAACTTAATTTCAAACTTCATTTTTGTTTTATAATTATTTTACACAAATTATAAATTTGTTAAATACTAACCTTGGAGGATAATTTGGATACATTCCATGATTTGTTTGCCAATATGGAGGATAACCATATAATTGCTGATTAACTGTAGAATCTTGTAAAGTATTTCCATTATTAGAAGAAGCTTTGGTCAACTGAGCTTGTTCTAAAGCTTTTCTTGCATTTTCCCAAGCTTGATTTGTACTTGTTTCTGAAGAGGAACCTTCTGTAGAATTATCGCCTTGATTTCCAAACTGCTGTGACCTGTATACAAAAAAGAAGCTTATTTATAATCCATTATTCCATACTTAATCAATCAGATATTTTAATAATCAAAAATGAAGTGGCTTTAACATAAACCAAAATAATAATAAGGATTCACTTACTGAAATTTTTCCCAATCTAATGTAGACATTATAAATTATAAATAAAATATTTTAAAAATTTTTAAATTGTTATATAATCTAAAATAATAGAATTTGTAAAATGCAATTTCAAAGATACATCTCCACACACTTATCTTAATCTAAAAATACTTAATGACATCTTGCAGTTTCTATATTTATTCTTACTAAAATAGTAGTATCTCTTACTTCACTAGTAACTGCTAAGTGAATAATTTGGTTCCATTTTTCTAGTTTAAACTTTCTTTAAATAAAATTTGAAAAATCTGCATTTACTTTATTATAAATGGATTCATCAAAAACCACCAATGAACAAAGTAGTTCTAATCAATCTGTGAGTATTATTTCAAAGTATTATTAATAACCACAGAATTTACTACTACTAAATAAAGTATACTAAATGGAACACTTTTTCCAAATTAACATTCGTCGTAATTTAGTAATTTTAAACAAATGTATGTATTTAAAGTGAGAAACTCTTTATTTTATTATTATTATTATTTATTTATAAGAATTCAATTATTTAAAATAATAAAAAGTGTAACTGCATAATATTTGAACAAAAAAAAATAAAAAAATAAATATGTCAATTTAAATTAGACCATTTTAAACAATATAACTGCACAGTTCAAAGTCTATTATTAATCTTCTTATATTTTAATTACTATTCAATATTTATAACATCAAAAAATATATCACATAAAGATAAATAACATTAATATGCTGATAACTTTTTAATATATCTTAATTATTTCCATAAAAGCACAAATAAAATATACAAATTTTTTAATAGAAAGGTATAATCTTTCAAATTAATTTTTAAGTTGCAATAACTTACTCTTTCATTTCAAAGCCTACCAATTCAGAAAATTATCAGAAAATTTTTTAATATTTTAAACATGGAATAATTGGTTAATTGTATTTCTAAAATTTTTTGTTTTCAATATTTTCCATCAAAATACATGAATTTTGATTATTGATATAAAATAATTATTATATTTAAGTCCAATAAATTTATTTATTTATTGTAAATTTATTTGTACATAGTAAAATTTGTTTTCACATGTGACTAAAAACAGATCAACCGATAAGTGAATGACATTAAGAGGTAGTAGCTACAGCTGACAATAGATTAACACAATCACATCTTCCTGTTTTGTTGAGTCAATGCAACAATTTTCATTTGTTAAAATAACTGTTTATTTGAAAATCTATTTTAAACTACCCAATTTGTTTTCTTGATTAATAATTGAAAAATCTGAATTTATTTTTAATTATTTATTATTATTATTTTTTAAATTTGTTATATATTTACAATATTTGAAATGTATAGCAAAGTAAACAATTAATGAATTATTATTATTTCTAATTATTAGAGATTAATTTTACACAAAAGTTTCTTAAAATTGTTGAATCATTAAAACTTTAAAGAAAGTAACATAGTCAATGCATTTTACTGTTTATAAGTCACATCTTTAATATAAATATGAATTTTTTTACTTATTGAAATTCATTAATAAGTAATCTACGATTAAAGTGTTATGTTTAAATTCATGAGAATACTAATAATATTAATATTATAAGCAAAGAAGTTAAGAGAATAAGTGTGTCAAGAAAATGAATTGATAAAAAAGTTTTTGGAAATGCAATTTCATAATTTGTAAATCTGACTTTAAATAATAATATAAGTTTATCATAAATTTTCCTGCATGTCTTTCAATTTGATAGAATTACAAAAAAACCCAGTTAAAATTGTTGTGATCAATAGATTTGTACAATGGATAGTCACAGATGGCATTGCATTTATCATATATTAACTTAGATTGCATATACAGGTAACCCCCGTATAACACGGGAGTTACGTTCCAAAAAATTGCCGTGTTATACTAAACAAAGAAAAGGGGGGATTAGGTTCCAAAAATTAAAAAACATGCTGTTAAATCCTTATTTAAATCAAATTTATTATTCATTTTTTCATAGGTAAAATACTTATTTATTATTTAAATAAATATTTTACCATAGGAATATTCATCCTATATGATGATCTCAGCATAAGCTTCATCAACTGGTAACAGTTTGTAGGTACGTTCATTAATAGCGGTCGCTCTGCAACGGGAGTGTGCACCACTGTTTGTGGGCATTTAGGAACGACAGTGAAAGAAAGATGGCGGCGCCAGCACTATCAATAGTATCGTGATAAAGGAATTTATAATTCTAAAATGAGCTTTTAGAGGGAAAAGAAGGGTCCCAATTGTAAAACTTAACCATTAAATGGATTATTTGTTGAAAGAGCATTCAAAGTAGCCACAAAAACAATTAGAATGCTCAAGTGGAGTTACACGGAGGTATAAAAGAATACACCCTTTATTGCATTTCATGTTGTACGAGGGTTTTATTCAATTCCCGAACCGTGTTAGAGTGAACCCCTGCTATAAAAACACTGTGTTATACGGGGATGTTCCTAATTCTCGAACCGTGTTAAAGTGAATCTGTGCTATAGAAGTGCCGTATTATACGAGGGTTAGCTGTATTTCATGTACAGTACATCAAGTACATGAAGTAATTATCATCCTTCATAGACAGGACAAATCCTTAAGAAAAACTGCAAAGGAATTAAAAATTGGTAATTTCACAGTATGGGGACATTATTTCAAAATATCAGCAAATGGTAAAACTCATCCAGAATAATCAACTGGAAGGCCAGCAACCATAACAGACTGATCACAAGCACCTTCATGAAATAAAAAAATTGAGATGCATCACTTGGTGAATTAGTGAACAAATGGAATAAAGTTACTGGGAAGAAAGTTACAAAAGAAATTTGTCATATCCATATGCACAAACTTGGCTACAGGTTCTACCAGGTAATGAAATATTATTATTTTTTACTTAACAATTGTGATAAGTGACATTTCTTTAACAAAGGCAAACACTTCTCACAAAAACACAAAATTCAATTGAAGTGGGCCAAAAAGCACCAATGCTGGACACGACAACATTGGAAGCAGGTTGTTTTTAGTGATGAGGCAAAGTTTGAAGTCTACATTGGTGGCAATAGAAAAAAGTCATTAAAAAGCAAGAGGCATTCCATCTTGACTGTCTACAGTGCACTGTAAAATTTCCAGCAAGTGTTTATGGTATGGGTTGCTTGTCAACCCAAGGCATGGGAGATTTGCATTTCATTGTGGGATCAGTAAATGCAGCAAAATACCAATAAAATATCTTTCAGGAAACCTATTACCATCATTAGAAAAACTACAATATCACAAACATTTTATTTTCCAGCAAAATGGTGCAAGTTGCCATACTGCTAAAATCAGCAAAGCTTGGCTGGCCCAACACATTAAAATGGCCATCGAGTAGTCCCTACCTTTCCCCTGTAGAAAATGTGTGTGGTAAAATTAAAAAAGCATTGAGAAAATGTCCTCAAGGAAGTGTGGATGGTTTAAAGCAGGGGTGTCAAACCTTTTTGTTTCTCTGGGCCGCATTGGAAGAAGTCAAGGAGTTTTGGGCCACAAGTATATATAATATATACTTGTGGCCCAATATACAAGTATATTTAAGGATTAATGTGTCTAGATTATAATAATAAGTATAAAAACTTTATCACGAAAAAGGATATTTTAAAAAATTACTTCTACAGACACTCAATTTTTACTTAGAAATAGATAAATTCATTTATTATAAAAGAGAAATTGAAAATTTATTTGAAAAACACAAATATTTGTTTTATTTGGATCTCTAATTAATAAAAAGCAACGAAACACCATTTTAAAGTACATTTTTATTCGACTAATA